CAAAAATTTGTATCAATGGTTCCATGATTAGATATTCTTTATCATATATAAAAAAACAGTATATCGGGAAAAAAAAACTAAAAAATATATAAAGTCAAGTAGTCAACAAGCCTGTCAGGACCATCGCATATCTGAATGCGAAATCTCAGGCCTTTATTCCCTTGTGTAAGTTGCCCAATACCAAAGAAAAGGCATGATTTATAATTATATAATTTTTTAATGATTAACTCAAGTTAATAGCAATTGGTGAGTTTAATTCTTCCATTAATTTGGTTTTGAAACAAGTAAGCCGACACACTTTATTTAATCTCTAAACATTTTATACAAATTACTACCTCCGATCCTTAATATAAGATTTTGTTTGACTTTTATTTTGACCCTAAATATAAGATCTTAATCCACTTTGTCTTTCATATTTATGTATTTTTTTTTCAAAATAATCATTCTGACAATAGTAGTTCTAACCAATATACTTGATTAGCAAGGATGTTTTAGGAAAGACAACACCTATTTATGACAAATAACTGAGTCAACTTACTTTCTTAATTTTCTCAAAATAGTCAACTAACTCTTATAATTAGGACTGAAGGCGGTACAAACTTATAAATAATAATCGTTGGGCATTTTTAGACTATTCCGCGCGAACCTACCAAAGGTTGGTTGGATTTGCCACTTCGCGGAATCAAATATCTGTATAAATAGTTAGTCCAAGCAGATATTAATTTTTTAATACCTACAACAGGTATCAAAATCTTAAAAAAATATTTGATGTCAGGATTGTCAAGCTTCAAGTCAAATTACTTTCTTTAACGTTAAATATTTTGACTCATTAGTTTGATTTGAATGCTTCTCCTGCTTTCATGTTCTTCAAATAATTTTTTGAACTTCCATTATAATTCATGTCATGTTTCGTCTTAATTCAATCTTAATCATTAAATATTGATCAAATGGTAGAGACAGTAAGTGAAGGAAAGCTGACATTACGTGCGTTTAGGTTATCTTTGTGCATGTTTTTCTTTGTGATATATATTTCCGATATGTATCAGCCATATTATTGAATTAGATAGATATGATAAACTATTTTTTTGAAAAAAAAATTTTTTGGACGTTTAGATATGGAAAATGACTGTGCATGAAAACAATATTGAAAATAATTGATGCAATGCATGTGTAGAATGAATCTACTAATGCATGCTCTGTATCTTCATTTAATGGGTTAATATTCTAAATAAATAAGACCAATTACATATCAAGAGATGATCAATATACATTTTTATTAAAAATGAGATGGAACATTAGTAATATTAAAATGACAACAAAACGGGAAGATAATGAGCTGGCGTCAAATAGGATGAACAGCTATGAGTAGTATAAATATAATCAGAAATAAATTTTAGTGCCCCTGCTGATGTAATTATACACGCGCGCGACTGAGAGAAGGTATTCCAATTGCTTCCTTTGAAGGATGGTTAAGATAATAAATTTACCACCCAAGATTAATTCAAGTGTAAAAAAAATAAAAAGAGGTGTGGTTCATGTTTAACGCGTTAATTCTTCAGAAATACGTAAAAATTAAAAATAAATTTGAAGAAAAACCAACGAGATGGAAAATTATATCTCAATGCATGCTAAGTGATCATACGAACTAGACCAATGAAATATTAGGAAATAAAAAAAACAACATATATTTAAGCCATATACACCAAATGACCCAATAACTAGTTAAATATAACATTTTTAGATTAAAAAAAGTGTGTGTGTAATCGAACTGGATTGGAGTAATGTTTTAGACTACTTCAACAAGATCTTATTTTATCTACAAAATTTGAGCTGTGACATTATTTTAAGCGTATCAAGTATTATTCCACTTCTAATCTTTCGAATCAATATTCTTATGAAAATATGACTACGATCATTTGAAAGTTTTATCAAATTATTTCAATTTACAGCTTTTTTCTTTCTAATTGAACCCTTCTATCATTCTAGCCTAGAAAAAAAGCCCTTCTGCTATCATTATATTTCAGGGTGTTTGACTAAGCTAAGGGGTCGTTTGGTTTATCCAAAAAACATTTTTTAAAAATGTTTTCATGCAGTTCGACATAAAACTCCTCTTAAATACTTACTTCTTATGCTGTAAAATAAATTTTAGAATTATAATTTTATTTCTATCCAAACATCCAAAAGCACTTTTAAAAAGTACTTTTATATTAATCGAGACAAAATTTCTTTTACATATTTATTTCTTATACCGTAAAATTACTTTTAAATCATGATTTGATTACCAGACTTCACCAGAAATCATTTTAAAATCTGAAATTAAGTACTTTCGCATTTGGTGGATGGAAAATAATGGAATGAAAAAGTCCGTTGTATTCTTGGATTAAAAAAATGAATAGATTTTGCTTATTATATATAACATAAAAGCTAATTAACTAATTTGAGTATATTAAAAAAATAAGTCAAGTTAGTTATTTGTAATAAATAGGTTTGTCTTTCATAAAATATCCTTACTAATTAAGTATACCAGCTAGAACTATCATTATTAAAAAGATTACCTTGACAAAAAAAATGCAAAAATATGATAGACAAAATAAATTGTGCATGGTCTTATATTTAAGACCAAAATAAAAAATCAAACGAGGTTTTATATTAAGGACAGGTATTACTTATGAAAAATGTAACTTTTATAAATCTTATATTTAGAATGAGTTGAATTACGTGAACATGAATTAACGATTAGTAATAAATTCTATAATTCTACTTATATCTTTCTCTACTTTATTACTTTTTTGAGCTGAATTTCTCTACTTTATTACTTGAATTACCTTCAAATAGCTTACATTAAAGTGAGATATAAGTAATCATTTGAACGCTTTTCACATGATTTTTCTTTAAGAGTGAGATTTTTATTATGTATAAATATTTTTTTATTGGAGGTAATCCTATTTAGGATGTCTTTGAGAGTGATTTTTATACAATGAAGAGAATATTCTTTTATTTTTGGTTCATTAGAAAAAGTCCTCAAAGAGTATGTATACAACGGCGTGTATCGAGGATATACTTTGGCTTATAATGAATTGGAAGCTCATTTTGTACCATATTAAAATTATATTACAAAGTATTACGGGTTTGACCATTAAGCTAATCCTAAAAAGGAATGAATACAATAACAAATGAATTATTGTCAAACTCGTCATATATAAATGAATATATTTTAATACATTATGCTTAAAATAAAAATAAATCATCCATAACAATACTATATGTTTAAATTCAAAGAAAAATAATATATAGTAAAAAAACAGGCAATATTCATCAATATTTCGGAGTCTTCATCCAAAATAAACATACTTATTTTATAATTTATTATTTTAAAATATGTACGTACACATGTATACATATATTTATAGTCTATTTAAATATTTATTTTCCCAATGCTTATTAAGCACAGATGAACAAAAAAAAACGCACGTTAAAAACATGGATAAAAAATTTAAAAACAAAAAATATATTTGATTTGACCAAAGCTTGGACTATATTACTAATTATACCACAAAATGTGTCTTGTATTTAAGATCAAATAGAGTATATATAGTTCTCTTGTTACTGGCTTTTCTTTTTTAATTAAAGATATGACTACTAATTACTAAGTTACTACTTGAATCAAAATTTGAATAATCCAAAGTTCATGCACACATCGCTCTTTCCATGAGATTATTGGAGGAGTGATATAATGTCTTCATTTAGCTTCTTCTCCACCTCCTTTCCACGATTTTACTTATTATCTTTATTACTATATTATTATTTAATGACTGCAATTTAATATACTACTCCCTCCGTTCCTTATTATAAGAGACATTTGATGCTTATGCCATGTTCCTATATATAAGAGACACTTAAAAGTTGTCTCTACTTTTTTGTGTTGATTTCCTATTTTACCCATATTTATTGTCTCCAACTCACACTCTCTCTCCCTCTCACTTCTCTTTCTTTCAATAATTTAATTATTCTCTCTCATGCTCTCTCTCCTTATTAATGAGGGCATTTTTGGAAAAAAAAATTATATTGATTATTCTTAACTAATTTTAACTACTTTTTTGATCAACGTAATTCGATTATTCGTCTCTTATAATAAGGAACGGAGGGAGTATAACATTATTATTATGATATTAATTAAATATCAAATACACATTTAAGCCAAGTAATATGCATATATACACCACCTTTGTAGATTTTTATTAAAATATTTTATAATATTTTTTTATTTTTTATGATCTGCAATCTCCACTCCTTCCAGGTAAAACGTGTGTGTGTGTGTGTATATATTATTTAATATTATAATAGTATCGGTATAATATATGAAATCTCATTTCTTGAATATTGATCAAACGGTAGAGATAGTAAGTGGAAGAAAGTGGAGACATTCGTCTTCCGTAAGCATTAAGTACGTCTAGGTTATCTTGTGCATGTTTTTGGGTACATAAATATTTCCGGTATCGGGCATACTATTGAGTTAGGTAGATATAAAAATTGATTTTTTTTTTTTAAAAATTCTTTGAATGTTTAAATATAGAAAATGATTGTGCATGAAAACAAAGATTGAAAATAATTAATTCAGTGCATGTGTAGAATGAACCTATTAATACATGCACTGCATCCGCATTTAATAGGTTAATGTTCTAAATAAATAAGACCAATTAAATGTGAAGAGACGATCAATTTACATTTTATTAAAAATGATATGGAACATTAGTAATATTGCAATGACAACAAAATGGGAAGATGTTGATTTACAAGGATGCACACGGCTGCCGTTGTGGGGTATGCCCTAAAACATTAAAGGAGTAACGAAATTATCAAAGACAAGCTGATTTTTTTTGAATTTATTTCCACTCAAAAAAATAAATTTAAAAAAAAAAAAAAACAGTAAAGAGGCGAGACGGAGAGGGGGTTATCCAATTGCCCCTGTGCTACTGCTACCGTTATCCTCTCAATCTATCCTCCGCCTCGACCCATTGGTAGCTGGCGTTCCCCTCCTCTTCCCCCAGCCAGCCACTTTTGTCACTTGCGTTGCTTCCCCTCTTCTCTCCTTTCCATTCTTTTTCCTCCTTTTAATTAATTCCATTCTGTCTTCTCTCCCGCTTGGTTGGTTAAATATTGGACATCCCTATGCCCTGGCCCTCCCCAATTTATGAATCAAATAGTCAGCTTTCTGGTTCTATGATTCTCATATGAAATTCCCCTTACTCCCTCCTCCTCTCCCTCTATATATTGAATTTCCTATCTCACACCCGCCCTCACCCATAGGACAAAGATGAGTTCTGTGAATCTTGGTCCGTGGACTCGCCCCAGTTCTTTGCTCACCCAGGTGGGCAAATCCAGATCCCCATCCTTTCATCTCTTCAATGGTCTCAGAAAACTACCCATTTCCTTCGTCTCTTCAAAACCACCGACCAATGGGGTCTCTTACTCTTCTTTCCCCTCTCTTTCGGTTGCTGCGGTGCTCACCAAGGAAAACGCCGTCAAGGATTCCGAGGAGGAGAAACCTGGTTTCAATTTCAACGCCTACATGCTTGAGAAGGCCAATAAGGTGAACCAGGCCTTGGATGCAGCTATTTCCCTGAGAGAACCCGAGAGGATTCACGAGGCCATGCGGTACTCCCTTCTCGCCGGCGGCAAGCGTGTGCGCCCAATGCTCTGCATCGCCGCCTGCGAACTTGTCGGCGGCCACGAATCAGTGGCCATGCCCTCAGCTTGCGCCGTGGAGATGATTCACACTATGTCGCTGATTCACGACGACTTGCCCTGTATGGATAACGACGATCTGCGGCGAGGGAAACCGACAAATCACAAGGTCTTCGGGGAGGATGTCGCGGTTTTGGCTGGCGATGCCCTTTTGTCTTTCGCCTTCGAGCACATCGCCGTTGCTACCGTGGGCGTGGGGCCGCCGAGGGTAGTTCGCGCCATCGGGGAGTTAGCAAAATCGGTTGGCGCTGAAGGTCTGGTCGCCGGGCAAGTTGTGGATATAGCTTCGGAGGGATTGTCCGATGTGGGGCTGGAGAAGCTAGAATTCATTCATATTCACAAAACGGCAGCGTTATTGGAAGCCGCGGTTGTGCTGGGAGCAGTCGTGGGAGGTGGGTCGGACGAAGAGATTGAGAAATTGAGGAAGTTCGCGAGGTACATCGGGCTGCTGTTTCAGGTTGTGGATGACATTCTCGACGTTACCAAATCGTCGGAGGAACTGGGGAAAACTGCGGGGAAGGACTTGGTGGCTGACAAGACCACGTATCCGAAACTTCTGGGGATAGAGAAATCGAGGGAGTTCGCTGAGAAATTGAACAAGGATGCGCAAGATCAGCTTTCTGGGTTTGATCCAGAAAAAGCTGCTCCGTTAATTGCTTTGGCCAATTACATTGCTTACAGGCAGAACTAGGTTGCTCAATTAATTTGTTCTAGTTTTGGATGATTGCAACTTCTGAAATCATAGTTATACATAAGCTCCTGATCTTGTAACGAGGGATGCCTCCAAATAATTCCCTCTTCTCCTCTGTGCTTCAATGTTATTCAATTCAAACTTTGTCCAATTACATTGCGTACAGGAAGAACTTGGTTGCTCAATTAATGTGTTCTAGTTTCGGATGCTTGCAGCTTCTGTAATCATGCATAAGCTCTTAATCCTGTAACGTGGGGGGTTGTCTCCAAATAATCCGCCCAATTAATTTGCTCTAGTTTTGGTGTATCATCTTTTACCCCACTTTCTAGTGACAGTAGGCTTCAGGATATTAAAATGACAAAGATGGAGCAATCAGTTAAATCGAAGCCTGATCGTCAGGCTTTTCGTTGATGTTTCCCTGTCTGATTGATTACTCATTTTCAAAGCCTAGGGCCGGTTTGGTATGGGGGAAGAGTTTTTGATCAAAATGAAAGGGGGAACGGAAGTGAAAGTTCAAGGCACAATTAGCATATACATGAAGTCTTTCATAGTTTCTTATTTTGTGTATTTATATGATCAAATGGCTAAAATATCCTTTGTAAAAATCTGGCCCTGCTCCCACAAACAACCACCGTTACGTTCAAACGAGAACAAAAAGTTAGAGGTGAAAATCCATTCGGAAGCTTTCAAAAATTAGGAATCGCGAAGAGCACTCAGAATGGATTCGATGGTGGAAATCGACCAGCAGCAACCAAGCTGGTGGAGGGTCGGTGCGCAATCAGCAAGACAAGAGTGTGGAAGAGGGAAGGTAGGGGCAACCAAGACATGAAAGTAACTTTGGTTGGGTGAGGTATGAATCCACTACCACTTCCACCGCTTGTAATGGAAGTGACCTGCATGAAGAATTTACTTTCAGTGTATTAAACAGTCAAAAATTCTGATTCCTCTGGCTGTGGACCAAATGGGGCCCAAGAGGATTTGCTGAAGCCTTCAATCTGTTAGCTCATGTTGCATATATAGATTTTTTAATGCAGATTGTGTAATCTGCATCCCCATGATGATGAAAAATGCTATCCAAATGGGGAACTTTGTTCTGTGTGTTTCCTATGCATTCATGTTGTGCTTAATTACTATGATCGGACCCCACTAGTGAGTAAGGATTCCTCGTAAAAAGTGATTCCTTGCTCCTCCTAGCGTGCGAAACTTCTGACTCTGAGGTAGCTTTCTTGGAATTTCATTTGGGTTGGTATGGTATATCTGTGACCCAGGGCTTCGCAGTCAAGCAGGGTTTAGGAGACGTCCAATTCAAATGCTCATGTTTGGCTGAGGAATTAGTAATATTGTCCAAGCTTTGGTCAAATGAAATTTAAGGGTTTTCATTGAGACCTCCTCGGCAGCCCTCCAAGGATATAAAATATATATTTTATTTAATACTTCTTTTATCTTTAACATAGGATTTAATTTCAGAATTGATGTTGGTCTTATATGTAAAACCTATTTTATATATTTATTAATTTTTTTAAATTAATTCAATTGATATTTTTTCAACAATGATTAAGTAGAGAGGAAGGGAGGACATTAAAAAAAGTGATTATGGCATTTTTTTTAAAAAAAATAATTAATTTAACTAAAATTTTTAATTTATCTAAATTAATTAATTAGATGTTTTCCTTGTGGTCCCGAATCACAGAAACGAACAACCAATTGATTTGGCCGCTATTTCAACCTCCAGCACCGAGGAGATTGGAACAGTGATGTAGCGAGTGCGATGCAACTTCTTGGGAAAACACGTTTGGCACCCTTATTACTTGTTAGGCCATCCATCCACGTGAACCTCATTGCACCCGGTTTATATATTCTCCCAGTCTTAAATATAAAGTTTTATTTTATCGTGTAAATTTATATTATAAAATAAACTTTATATTTAGGATCGGAAGTATTATGGACTGTTATATTTTTTTTTGTAAAAGAATACTTAAAACTTAAATTCGTAAATAGTTGAGGAGTCGATTTTTTTTTCCGAATTTTTTCAGTATAATTGTGATATGAAACATTATAAAAACTTTAAATCGAGAATCTGCATATGGAGATATTGGGAGCAAAAAAGCAGGTCAGGGCATGTGAAAGGTGAAGAAAATCAACGCAGTCGAATTATTATGTCGGAGAGATCACATTTTCAAATTTTACTTTCTTCAATACTACTAGCATTTTTCTTTTCTTCTCAAAACTTACTTTGATTGACTGCTGGGTTTGATGGTAGGAAAATCATAAGAGGGGAGTGTGGATCGTGGATCGTGGATCGTGGATATGATATTTGAGAATATTGTGTGTGTGTGTGTGTAAACTGGACATATAATGTTTGTAAATATGCGATTCCTTACTCCTCTTGTCATGTTACTCCTCCCAGCCATTTTATTGGAAACAACTACAATTTCTACGTTTCCTCGGTTTATAAGAAATATTTGTAAGGTGTCTCAGTTTTCTACATTTTATTTCTTATTTTATTTTTTTAATTATTTATTTTAATACTCAACATCTTATTTTTCGAAGCATTATCCATCCATCTCACTGTATACACATTCTTTCTCTTTTATAATTCTCTTTTCTCATAAATAATGATATTTTTTAGGAAAAAAATTTATGACTTTTACATATTTATGATTTTTAATAAATTTTAACTAACTTTGTGATTTGGCCTAATAGGACAGCGAGAGTACTCTCTCAGATCCTATATATAAGTTTTAAATAACTGAATTAAGTTCAACAAACTAGCAGTTAAAATTAACTAAAAATAATAAATATGTCAGAAATGTATTTTTTCTTCAAATTTGTCCTTATTTATTAAGAGAGTAAATAAGAGACAATAAATAAAAAAATAATGAAAGAGAATATATAGGAGTAATATTAATGAGAGAGTATTAAATTCAGTCAACTAAAAGTAAAATAAGAAAATAATAATAATAAATGTTCAGATAAACTAAAAAATCAAATTTATATTTTTGACCAGATGTATCTCCAAAAATGAGACTTATATATTTTTATTTGTGAAATCATCATACTGCACAGTGCACAGTTCCTGTTTTGTTCTTGAAGCTTGCTCGCAGCCGCCTCGGGGTCTTGATCAACCCAAGAAAGTCATTAATTGTGTCCAAACTTCCAACGATTCTAACGCGTTAATACTAACTGTGTTTAAAACTCCCTCAACGACTTTTTATGAGACCTGATAACTAAATTATATGCTCCTCTGGTCCTATTTACTGTTAGTATATTTTATACAGACAGAAAAAGACCTTAAAATGTATTAACTCTATATTAAAATAAAACAAATTTTTAATTTTATCGATATTTAATACTCTTCTAGTCCTTAATATAAGACTAATTTATCTAATTTAATTAGATTAAGGAAGTTAAGTGAGTTAGTTAATTATAAGAAATGTGACACATTTTTTTTCTAAAACACTGTAATCATCTTTCTTAATACCCTTTCTCTTTCTTCTACTTGATTATGGTTGAGAGAGTATACATAGGGGTAATTTAGAGAAAATTGATAAATATAAGAAATGAGTCTTATATCTAGGATCAAAACTAACCCAATAATTAGATCCTATATTAAGGACTGGAGGAGTATATATACATTTCAAAAGAATAACTACCTATACTTAGTATCAAAAAAAAGAATAACTACCTATACTATAATAAATACAAGACAAAATAGCATATTTATGCTGAAAATTTAATAAAGTAACTTATAAATAGAGTAAGAAAATCTTCTCTCTTTACCCTATAAATAAGACAAAAATAGTAGTTTAAAAATAATTAAAATTAATTAAAAATAATAAATATATAAAAATAAGTTTTCTTTTCCCAAACATCCATTATTTATAAGAGACGAATAAGGGAAAAAAGTAGGAAAGAGACTGTAATAAATTTTTTAATTAACACAATACATAAAATTAATTAGGGATAAAAATGGTAAAAACACATTAAATATTTAAATAACCACAAGTGAGACAAGGCATTTTTCAAATTTCTGGTTCTCATAAAAAGAACTGAAGTAAATCAATAGAGTTAAATAGATGAGTTAATTATAATAAATATTACATAATCTTTCTAAAATACTTCTATATAATATTATATTACATATCAATTTATAAGATATTAGGTAAATTAGATTGTAAGAAAAATAAAATTAAATAAGTAAATTGAGATACTCCTCCGGTTCTTAATGTAGAACTCAATTGTTGAGTTGATTTTGGTCCTAAATATGAAACTCATTTATCATATTTATCAATTTTCTCTAAATTACCCCTATGGTCACTCCTTCAACCATAATCAAGTAGAAGAGGAAGACGGGGTATTAAGAAAGATGATTATGATATTTTAGGAAAAATGTGTCACAGTTCTTATAATTAACTAACTTACCTAACTTCCTTAATCTAATCAAATTAGTTAAATGGGTCTTATATTAAGGACCGGAAGAGTATTATATTTAGTTTCAAATTCAATTTTTAACCAGCTTCTATATTAAAAATCAGAAATCGTAAGAACCAGAGCTATTTATTAATTATTAACAAGATAATTTATTATTTGAACTCCATTTAAATTGCAACATTCTTCACATATTGATATTGTTGGAAGGGGCTAAATGCTCGAGTTATCACTTGTTAAATAACTGCTGTACAAAACTTCAAAAACATATCAGACGTCAAAACTTATTTTCCCCCCAAAGTAAAAAAGGTAATTAAGTAATTACAAGATGTGAGATCTGAGATCTCAAGGCTTTAGATTTTTTTTTTCCTGTCATTAGAAATAGGGAAAATTACACTCAGATTCCACAGAGCACAATTAATATAAAAAAGATCCCTCAAAATCGTGAAATGATTCTGAAATCCCCAGGGACCTGTGTGTAATAAATTCTAATTCTGAAATTATCTACTTACCCCTGTTAATTTTATTACAGCAATTCGTTTACAATCTCAACAGTGGCTGTTAACAACCCGAGAAGACGTGATTGACAACCTCGGCAGTGCTCATGACAACTCACTCTGTGGAATGCCAGGGGCGTTGTTGAGGTTGTTAACCACCTCTTATCGGGTTGTTAACAGCTACTGTTGAAATTGTAAATAGGTTCTAATTTTATTGCAGCAATTCGTTTACAATCTCAACAGTGGCTGTTAACAACCCGAGAAGACGTGATTGACAACCT